AAACTAATAGAATTTGGTGCGTCTGATAGTTTCGTACGAGCTCGGCCATACATGAAATTCAAAGTATGGCTTTTGATTCGACTTGGTTTCCTGTAATAAAAAACATTTTTGGAATTAATTATTTTCTCCTTTCATTTAGACCGATAGTTGTACTTGTTCTATTACTTTTCCCTTTCAGCGATCATCTTTCTACACTCTGTCTCTCTTTCCCTTTCTGTCAGTACGAAACATTGTCGGGTGTAAAGCTCAATGTTCATTTGAATATTCTGTTGAGCTTTTCCAACTTTGTCTAATTTTCTGTTCAGGTTTTCTTTCGAAAACTTTCTTTTGAACTTGGAAAAGTTTTTGAAGCATTGTCGACGACACAACTTTTCTGCAGCGCTAGGAGGTCGTCATTTCACGAAAAAGCATAATAACTGCAGCTTCAACAAACTTCCATATATGACAAGCGGCTTTATTCAGATTTTGTCTAATTCCATGCTTCTCCTAATTCTATGTGCTCTCTCGGGCTCAAGCTCTGCGTGCCAGCTTAGCCGCATAAGGTTTTACTTATTGATTTGCCCAGGTAGTAGTGCCAGCTGGGCTCGTACGAAGCTGCTGGAGAGCCGACATTTCTTTCTTTTATCTCTCATGTTCTCTCTCTCTATCCCTCTACCAGTCTACAGCTTTATATGGTGTTCTTTCTGTCTCACCCTCTCTCTATCACCTTCGTTACTCTTCTTCTATTTCGGATCAAACCCTTCTTGTTCACCAAAAGCTCTCATATGGCAATTTCAGAGCTTCTCCTCCATTTCATTTCAACTACTAAAAGAGAGGCTCCGTTTGAAGTCGCGTGACAATCGCCTTTTGTCTGTTACGTATGTGACTCTCACAATCCTTTTTTTCTTCATTTCCCAAAATTTAAATTAAAGTTATTACCGAATTTCCTTAGTTAATTATTCATTCACTTGAAAAATCTGTGTTGAAGCTTAGTTTTTCGTCTTTACATGTTTTCGTTTGACAGCTTCTCCATCACAAACCTTTAATGCTGGATGAGTGTTAATCCATCTACAGCATCTTCTTCTCTTGCTTCTCTCTCTCTTCACATTTCCGCCTGATTTCACAGCTCATGATCACACCTAAATTAAACTTTCAATCAATCTGATCCCGTTTATACCGACTGAGCTTTTCATGTTTTCTCCACATTCCCACTCAATCCTATGCAGCTCCCTCCCCTCCACTCTCCTCTTCACTGTCTCTATCCAGCACGAAAAAAGATGCATTTTCATAACTTCTTTTAGTGAAATAACAATCGACTTTTAATTAAATTCTCCTTTCCATTGTGTACTTCTAGTTCTCACTACTCGAACTTCAGTACGGAACTCGGCTTGACATGTCTTTAATTAACAAAAAAAAAGAAAAAGCAAAACCCTCCTATTCACTCTCTGCTCCCTCTCTTCTCCTCTATTGCAAAGTAGAAGAAAAGAAACTACGAATGGCTGGGTGTGAACGAAACTTATTGGATATGAAAAAATAGAAAATAAATAAAAATTTCCGATTGTTTTTTCCGTTTTAAAATGAAACGTTGGTGGAGCGAAATTCTCTTAGAGCACCCCTCCAACTCTCCACCCCTCTCTTCTATCTCTCTCTCTCTATCTCAGATCTGAACTGAACACTTTCAACTCACAGAGAGAGATAGAGAGAGAGAAACGTTTGTTCATTCGTATTCGTGTTTCTCTTTACTTTCTCTTGTTATTAAAACTTCAAGTTTTGAACGTTACCTTATTCTATGATTGAGTTTCTCATTTCTCAAACACAACAACAACATTCGAAAGGAAAAAATCTTGAGCACGGCTTCTCGAGTTTCAAAATTCTTTTGTTTTGCAAGCGAACCATTTGATAGACTTATTCATGTGTTGTTGATGCTAATCTACTTGACGGCAATTATTGGTAATTTGCGACATTTCACGCTTTTGCCTTCGTTCTGCTCTCTCTTCTTCTGCTCCTCTCTTCTTTAATTACCCTTTTTCCTATTTCAACCAGCTCCGCTTCCCCCTCTTCCCTCCTCCTCCTCCTATTCTGTCGGTTTGCTCTTCTTCTTCTACAACCCCCCCACTCTCCCCCCTACTCCCTGCCATCCCATTGGTTGAGCAAAAAGAAAATAAGCCAATGAAAATTGAAAAGTCTTTTAAGCTTTTCCTTAATGAACTCTCTTATATAAATTTCATAGACCATATTAGGTCAAATTTATGTTTAGCCTAGCGTATATGTGATGATCTCACTTTCTGCTTCGTTAAACTCTGGATTGAGATGGAAAAGAAACATTCAAAATTGGAAAATGCTTGTTTGAAGCTGAAAAGACAATTTAGCCTGGAGGTGATGACCAAAACGAAATAAAAAGTGTGAGAGGGGATATAGACAATGCTATAACATGAGAGTGAGAATATGAGAGATGGAATGAGAGTGAGTGAGAGAGATAGAAAAAGAGAATGAGAGTTACTGGAAGAGAAAGAGAAACCAACCGCTCAGCGTCGCACCAAAATGATTTTGACAGCTTAAACGTAAATACGAATTATTTTTCATATATGTGAGCAATGTTCACGTGAAATGCCACGTATGCTAATTCTTGATTTCTCTAGCGACTCTCCAATGTTTGTAAACTATTTCAGTTGTTATTTTCTTGGAATGCAAGCATGTGCTCAGATAAAATAATATTTTCAATTAACATCGTCGATATACCAACTCTTCGATCATATGACTTTAATAAGCTTCCCATCCACACATAAAACTGCAGCTTCATCCTATCGCCCATTTATGAGCAGAAAAAATGAGATTTAAATGCCCCGAAGGAATTATTGTTGAGTTGCTTTTTGAGCCACATACTCACACACACACACACATACACATACCCATACAGCTTTCTATTTCAAACCATTCCTTTTTTGTTCCTGCTCCATGTCTTTATCACATAAACCATATTGGAGAGAGGAAAAGGAAGAAGGAAAGGGGGTGACAGCGACAACGAGGAACATTGAAAGAGAGAGAGAAAATGAAAAAAACTTTTTAAAATCTTCCTTTTATCTGACTGAAATTTGATGGCTTCGTGTTGAGCCATGTTGAGAGATTTAATTCAACTTCAACAACGAAAATCTCATTTGAACGGCAAAAAACTGTTGACAGCTCGATCGAACAGCTTTTCCCTCCCCCTTTAGCTCTTTCTATCTTCCGTTGGCTGTGCGTGTTTCCCCTTTCTAGGCTTTTCTAATGCTCCATTTCCTTGTGAATGACGTCTTAAAGCAGAAGACATTACCTCTATCATTTCAGAATGAATTATAATTGTTTTTTTGGGTTTAAAATAGAAAGTTTCAAGTTTATAATGAAATTTCCTCTTATTAATCATCTACCGTATGCATAGCATGACAGATGCAGGAGTAGAAGAAGACGTCCACAGCGACATCCAAGAAGTGATAGAGAGGGCCAATGTGAGAGTTTTAAAGTAAAAATTTCAAAAAATTTCAATCTCATCTTCAGCTTCATCTTCAGCAACTTCCAATCATTTTAAAAGTTAAAGGAAATGTCTCTTTTCACAATCTTGTAGTTGAAAGCTTTTGCTCGTCGTCCCTGGCAACTGGCTCAAGATGAAGCTGGCCATTATGTTTCCTTCTTTTTTCGAATACAAAATGTTAAGAAAAGAATTAGTCAATGATTTTTTCGACTCTCTCTCTGTCTCTCTCAAAAACTTTATAAAACATGTCTTTTGTGATATTTCGAATGTTTTGGTTGTGTAAGCCTTGTTCGGCAATTTGGAAGAAAGAGAGAAGAGGCGAATGAGAGAGATGGTGAGCTTAAGTCTTTAAAACAAGCTTCATTGGAACTTTTTCAATCTTTTTTCTTCCATCAAATAATTAATTATGTTTATTTAGTTTTCTTAATGAAAAATCTTCTTCTTCGTGTTGTGCAATCGATTACCTCCTTCTCTCAACGTTTTTTCCCTTCTTCCTCCCTCTCCCTTTCTTCATTCACAAAAAAATGCAGAAAGAAGAAAAAAAAAAGAAAACAAACGAACTAAGGAGAAAGACGATGCAGAACTGAAATCAAAGCAAAAATATTCTGAATTTTATATCAGTTTCGTTGTCATTCTCTAGCTAATGACTAAATGCCTTCAGGCGTTTTTCCTATTTCTCTCTCTCTTTCTCTAAACTTTCTCTCTCCTCCCCCTTTCCACCCCTCATCTCATTTCATCCGACTCTCACTCACTCTCTCTATCTTGTTCTCTGTTATCAATCGCTTCTGTGATCTTGGAAATCCCTTGTTTGGTAACATATTAAAAAGTGTTTTCATCTGATTTCTTTTCTGATTAGCTATAGAATATCTTTTATAATCTCCTACAATTCCTTGTGATCATCATCAGAATGTTCTTCGTCGTCAAATCGTCTTTCATTATCTCTCTCAACAAGCACATGCTTCACTCCACTTCACTCTCACTCTCTCTATCACCATCGTTGTTCTCCTTTTTTGGTTGAACTATCTCTCTGACCTTTTTCTAAATGTTTTTTGTACTCTCTTGGCCCGATTCTCTGAAAGTTCAAATTCTCTTTTTCGATTTCACGAATCTTCATGCATCAAGCTCTCTCCACTCATAGCAGCAGCAGCAGCAGCAGCAGCATCTTCATCTTCTATCGTCATTCGTGTCTTCCAATGTTCAAACCTTCTGTCTTTCATCCATTTTTTTTCTTTTTTTTTTGCTTTTTTTTTATTTGTTGACTTTACAAACTTAAATATCTTTGTTTTCTTTTTATAACATTTTCCCTTTTTATATTCCACGTTTTGAAGAGAAGACTGAAAACAGAGCAATTTAAGCCATTTAAAAAGCATTTTTATTTCTTTTTCCTCCGTCGTCTATCGTCCTCCTCATCTCTCTGTTGAAGACGAAACATACCATTTGATTCATTTTGTATTTTCTTTATTAACATTTCATCCATTTCAGGGGTATTTAATAAGATTTTATTTGGCTTTTTCATATGCGGATAGCCGTTGTAATTTTGATCGTTTTTCAATTGGCGATAGCCAAGCATCATCGTCATCGAGGTGAGAAACAGATGATTTTTTTATTTTTTTCTCCTTACTCGTTGAGTTTGTTCAATGATTTTACATGTCGTCGTCAAAAACGTCAAAAAGGCAAAATACAAAATTCAAAAAACATTTTTCTTTCCTTCATTCCCTCTCTGTTGCTCTCTCTTACTACTTCTCATTCGGTAGAAGCTGGAGGGAGAGGAGAGAGAGAGGAAAGTTCAAAAAACATAAGAAAATAACGACAAAACAACATAGAAATCATATATTTTCTATATTTGATTCCTTTTCAGCTCCTGTCATAGATCTGAATGGAGCCGATGAGTTGGTTGCAACAATTCGGGAAGGAGAAATCATTCTCAATACCGTTCCCGACATTGTTCTTCTGCCTGAATCAGGTATGTTAGGAATAGAGCACTCTTGTTCAAGAAAGTGATAGATCGTACTTCCTCTGTGCTTTCGTCCTGAATGTCAGTGACAGGCAGAGAGAAGAATGAAATTGGAGGAAAAAACATGAAGAAAATTGTATTTTTAGTCGTTCATCAACATTTTTCAACAAAAAAAGTATTTTGTGGGGCTGCTTAGCTTGCCTCAGAGCAAAATTTGTCCAAAAAAGGACATTTGTGAGAATCAAAAAGGATAATGTGTGTTGCCCTTGCATTTTCCTCAATTTATTTGAATATTTGAGTCAAAACTCAAAGATTCTGAGGAATTGACGATGAGATAGAGGAAAGATGCTCCGAAATGAGCGAAATTTCACGCTCAATGTCATTTCCCCGAGACATTTTTTAATCAAAAGTCAATAAAATAAGATAAAAATATGTTAATTTCATTTTGAGAGCATTACTTGTTAGGTGAGAACTTCGATCTTTCAAACATTCACAGAAATACATATAGGGAGGGAAATTAAAGAGAGTAAGAGAGTGTGACACAGGGAGGTAGAGCTGTGAGGGGTAAAGGCTGGGGGGGGGGGGGGGGGGGGGGGGGGGGGGAAAAAAAAAAAAAAAAAAAAAAATAGATATTTTTTTATTA